GAGAACGAATATACGTTTATTCTCAAAGCGGCACAATACATGCAAAACAAAAGATATACTTTAGTCTCTAAATAATTAGCTCTAAATTTAAGAAATTGGAAATATTGAACAAATTAAAAGTGGGTATAAATCACACAAAAATATATATTTTATTGAAAAGGATACCCATTTAAGAATCCTATAGTTTGCCTAGAAATTCTTTCGGTGTCTCTTTAGTCCCTAGCAATAGTTATATGTGTACATCTATTTGAAAATATTGGCATCTAATTTTATTGAGTTAATGAATGAATGCGCGAACCCAAAGAGTATATCAATCACGTCACATAAGAAGATAAGCGAAAGTGTTTTAGACGATATGGGACACAATTTTAACACTTGCATTATGGTAAAAAATATTTGTTTTGGTGTCCTAAGGGAAAAAGCAAAAGTTCTACACGTCTTCCCTAATATCCCACTAGTATGTGAAGTAAAACTAACTGCTATACTACGCTATATATACTATGCTAATGGGTATAAAAACATCGCAGCTACGTGACGTTTAAAAAATATATAACCCCACTTTGATAGCCTATAGCAATGTAATAAATAAGAAGAAGCTTCTCTAATTGGCATTTTTGTTGTTTTGAATTTATGACAGTTGTTAGTCAACAAAACTTTCTGTTTTTATGAAATTTTTTCGATTTTGTCAATTTTATATATTAATAAAAAATATCCATCTTCTTTTTTGGTAAAGCTTTTAGTAATTAAGAAGTATGAGTGAATTTTGAAGAGTAGTAAAAATTTGCATTATTACTAAAGCCAATAACAAAAATTAGACGTGTATTCAAAATTTTCGAAAGGAAAGTTTTGCGGAAATTAGTGAAAGTGGCTTTTTTGCAGAGATCATTGGCTTTTCTTCAAAGTGGTTTGATTTTCACAAAATCAGATCTTGTGCGGCAAGTAAGCTCTTATGCTAAAGACGTGGTTGATAAAGTAACATATAAATGTTAACATTCTTTGTTTAGTATTTGCAGCTTTCCAAAGGGACGCTTATAAAATATCTTGGCGATCTAAAGAAAACTTCTGATTTTTGGATTAATGAAAATCTTTTTGTGGCTATTTATAACACTTCGAAGAGTAGACGTGATATGCAAGAGACAAAGGCAAATGTAAAGCAAGCAAATGGGAATTCAACATCAAGTAACGCGACAACTGTCCAAAGTAATGAGCACTTAGACAATGAAAGCAGCGAATCAAATGAGCCTTTGCCAAGGCCTGAATATTTCATCGCTGAACCACCGTCCGATATGCTACCAAAGTATCGAGAGCTTCTCTTAGCTTGTCAGGAGCAAATTGAATTTTTTAGGAATGAAAGCACCGAAAAGGGATTACGTTTGTATGCTGCGCTTTTGGCATGGCAGGACTTTATAATTTTGTCAAACCAATTGGTTCAGAATATAGATAGCTTTGCTCATAATTACGATTTCGATGAAAATACTCCTGGCAATGGGTACCGCAGTTTTATTAGCGTTACACATTCCTGTGTAGATCATGGATTGACGTTATGTAGTAATCTTTTGTCATCGCGAGGTACTGTATTTTTCCGTAAAAAGCATTACATGAAAGAAGTGGAAGCTTGCTCCCAGCTGCAGGCTTCACTGTGTAACTGCTTACGACATTTACTTATATTGCATGACTGGTCGAAAGGTACATATGATTTGTTTGCCAATGGAACACATTCAGCCGAAGAATTGTTCGAAGCCGGAGATACCATTAATCAATATTGCTTTTATGGCCGCTGCTTGGGCTTTCAATACAGTGATTCAATTAAGGCTATTTTGCGTATCATTAGCATTAGCATGGCGGGATTTTCGGAGGCATTCTATGCAAGAGATATAGATGGTCCTTTAGTTAAGACCACCCGCAGCGTGTGGACTAGCGGAAAGTATCTACTTAATCCTGAGGTGAAAGCGAGGCGCATTGTTAATTTATCTCAAAATGCCAAAATCGATTTTTGCAAATCCTTTTGGTTTCTCGCTGAATCAGAAATAATGCATAAATTACCCAGCGTAGTGGCGGCCTCTGTAAAAATCAATCAATTAATAGAAATACCAACAGAACCTTTGCAATTGCCATGTGTGGGGACAACAAATAACAAAGTTCCTTCTCGTAAAAGGTTAGAAAAGGACATTGAATGGGTTGATATACCAATTCCAACAGCACATCTAGGTGCAGGAAAACCAATAACAGTGCGTTTGCTTAGTAGTCAGAGACGAGAAGGTATGATAGGCTTAGGTGGGAAAAGTTTCCGACAATGGCGCAAATTGCAACCTCGCAGTCGTGCTATACTATTTCATTGTCATGGCGGTGGCTTTGTAGCGCAATCTTCCAAATCCCATGAAATATATCTAAGAGATTGGTGTGTGTCTTTAGAAACCCCTATATTGTCAGTGGATTACAGCTTGGCTCCCGAGGCGCCTTTTCCGAGGGCGATTGAAGAAGTGTTCTATGCTTACTGCTGGATGCTAAAGAATGCTGAACACTTGGGCACTACGGCGGAACGTGTTGTGGTTTTGGGTGATTCCGCTGGAGCTAATTTATCAATAGCTTTAACTCTAAAGTGCATTCAAATGAATGTTCGCGTACCGGATGGGATATTCTTAGCCTACTGTCCTACTTTAATAAGTTTTGTTCCCAGCCCAGCGCGTCTATTGTGCCTTATGGATCCTTTGCTGCCCTTTGGATTTATGATGCGTTGTCTACGCGCATATGCGGCACCCAGTTCAGAAACCAAGCAAGAAAATTCTAAAAGTGAACAACTGTTCCACGAAATTTGTAAAGCGAATGAACAAGAACCTCATTATAAGCTTACTTTAGACGTTAAATCATCAAAAATCACCTCTCCAACTAGGAGCCCACAGTCATCGGTCGCTGAAAACTCCAAATGGGAGCAAATCAAAGTAAATTCGAACGTTCTTTAGAAGGGCGACTTATTTGGTTGTAGGTCTTTTAATTATATAGCGAAATTTCAGGTTAAGGGAGAGAGTGGCGCTGAAGAAGCCATTGAATTGGCCGAAGAGGAAATGGAAGATAGTAATGACAATACTTTTGCCAGTGCCTCCTATCGCAGCCCAACAGTGGAAAACACCGATTTGCCTTCATTCGAGGATGATACTTCTTTGCTTTCATTTGAAGATGATTCACAGCCCATTGAACATTATCCAATCAACAAAGAGAAAAATTCCGAATCTGTTAGATATGTAGATAATTTTCTTGAGTCCTACATAGCCGAAGATTCAACCGAAGAGGCTAAAGAAGCCAATGAATTGCACACCATGACAGCAAAAACTTTATCTGAAGAGAACTTATTAACAAAGTCGGGTAAAGATGCGGTGCGAAGCAAGTTTCAACAAGCTTTAAATAATCTCGCGAATACGTTTAATCGGATCACGCAATCGTATGACATAAAACCAGACGGAGTCCCCTTTAAAGAAATTGAGGATCTGCGCAACATGGATGCATTGATAGCTCGAAGTCCGAGCGTTGAGTTTGCATTTCAAGTACCTAGGGACCCATTCCTGTCACCATATTACGCCTGTGATGAATGGTTACAAAAAATGCCCAATACAAAAATATTGGTAAGAAAGATAAGCACGAATAGATTTTAGCTTGTTTGGGTTTTTGATTCCTAGAAGCCAAAATTAGGAGCTTATTCTTGATTAGCGATGTTTTTACAACCATTTTAGAACTCCGTCAATCGGAATATCTGTACTTTAGTTCTCGACACCGGAGTGAAAAAGCGGTCATCATTAAATAGTTTACACAACTTCACTTAATACGGTGGCTCATACTAAAGGCTTGCGAAGTAGTGGTCCAATCCGTAACAGTTTCAATAGCGTTTATATTTGGGTCAAATTACGTCGGTGTACTAAATTTTGTCTAAATATCTTAAAAGTCGCGACCTGTAACTTGAATACGAAAGTGCAAGACGGGCAGACAGGTTTAGATCAGTTCACAATGTCGTCCTGGTGCAAAGGATGGATAGGTGGAACAATTACAACTTGCTCTGGATATCGCGTACATTCGCGCCAACTTTATATGCCCATACAGGTTTCGTGGGATATAAAATTGGATGACGTGGTATATATAGCTAAAACTAAAAAATTTTAAGTAATTTTATTAAAAACTCAGGAAGTGTACATCAAGCTTTTTGTGAATAGTTTTAAAAGCTCTTTAAACAACGGCATATAGAAAATTATTTCAGATAATCAAGTGCCGTTACAAGACGCGTGTAGTTTTTTACTTGTAAATTAAAAACGTATTCTTTCATTATTTAAAGACCATCGAAATGGATCCCTGTTTAGATGATTGCGTTATGTTTGCCAAAAAATTGAAAAGACTTAATAGACCGGTTACTTTAGATATATTGAAAGGCTTGCCACACGGTTTTCTTAATTTTACTATGGTAAGAGAAATAAAATGGAAAATTATTTAGATTAAAAGAAAAAAACATTTATCTTTAAAAAGCTATCGAATGAAGCCATGGAAGGTTCGAAACATTGTATTCAGTGCTTGAAAGAGCTGATGGCTTTAAGCAGTTTACCGCCCACCAGTGCCAACTCTAGCTCCACGTCCACAGACAGTCGAGAAAATTAAACAACAAATTCTTATTGAAATTCGTTTTCCCACCATCCCAGTTTGTTTTCTATTTATCAGGACATAAAGAAAAAAAAATAATCAAGAGTATTTCAAATACCAAATTATAAATTAAGAAATTTTTATAAAAACGCAAAAATCATTCGAAAGAGATTTAAATTGTAACGTAACTTGTTTAATTTATTTATGTATTTATTTTCCTTAATTCGTTTTATAAATTGTGTTCCTAATTTACGCTATAAAATATCATGTGTAATATGTACACATCTTTTTAAATTCATTATACGTTATACTCGAACTCATTCCTTTTTTATGTTATGAAAAAAGAAAAATTTCGTTTAGGCGTATGAAACAAGAAAATGCAATAAAATTGTTAATAACTATACGTATGAGGAGAGAACTAATGTTTTATATGAAATGTCGGATCTAATTTAAGTTTTTATCAGTATTTTTGTGAGGAAAGGCGGTCTTGACAACATAGACTGGACTCAATCGATACAGAATTTTCCATTGGATACGGACAGAACAATCAATATAGAAATATTTCGCCCGACCATTTACAAGGAAATGTTTTTCTTTCTGTTGATAATTGAATTGTTTGGAAGATTAAAAGTCGATTCCAAAGCTTTATTTTATGGCAGGCATTCTTGATTGTTATTAACTTTCTTTGGTCCCATATAATTTTGTGGTGGTTACAAAATTGGGCAAATTTCTTTTGTATTATAGTGTTCAACAAAGAAATAAAGTCGAATCTGCATTTCTATGGTTTTTTTGCTTATTTTTGAAGCGCAAATTTAGCTTAGCGAAATTATCCGTGAGAGTATTTGGCTCAAAAACAAGATTGAAATTGTCTTGATTGTGATGTTGTCTTGAACGAATGAGTCAAAATGTGTTTTCTTAGTCATTTACTTGATTCTTGTATAGTACAATAAATTTAAAAACCTACTAAAATGGACCGATAATACTAGTAGACTATCAGATGGTAACCAATACCTACGTGGGGCAAACATAGGTAGGATATTGGTAGGATGTGGTGAACGGTATTTAATTGTGGACCGTGACCTACTGCAGTGTTTTTACTTCTAACTTAAAATAAGTAAAACGATTTGTGTGACTGTGTTTATTATTGCCGTATTGCACTGTCTTTCAAATTAGTTTAATTAGCAATACGAACGCTTTTGAATTTCTTGAAATTCCCCTCTATGCCGAGTAAGATACGAAGCATTTTTTCATATACTTGGTCGCAGGTTTTCATTAACGCGAAGCAATTTTTCTTATTCTATAATTTTGTTGTTTTTACTGAGTTTCATAAGACAAGATCGCTCATGTAATTGTTGCATCTCGACTTCTGATCAACTATAATCTTTAGGCAATATATTAAGTGGAATATAGGGGAATAATGCTTCTATATTATTATGGAAGTGTAAAAAGTCAAACGTTTCCTTTTTCACGAAAGAAGAAAATAAGCCCATCATTTTATCTAAAAATGGAACGACGTTAATGTTATGAATGGCCACTAATCGTATGGGTCACGCTTCCTGTTAATGGAAAGAAAGTAAAGATCAAATGTTTTGAAATCATTTTAAAAAGGCATAGTTAAAATTTACGTCTACGTAATAAAAGGCTTTTCTTATTAACATAATATTGTGTATTGATGGCCAAATGTAGCCGCTGTGAACATATAAAACGATGTAACCCATACGTGGACCATCTGCTCGGATAAAAAGGTCTAAGAATAAAGATTCCCTGGAAGGAGTGTTTCATATCAATTAACTTGTTAGTGTCTAAATAAAGTTCAGTAAAAGCAACTAATAAGTATTGTGTTGGTAAACGATAAGTAGATATTTAACAAATAAAAAAATTAAATTCGGTCGTAACCGAATCTTTTGCACCCACTGCCGTTATCCTAAAAAAGAAAGGAAAAGGAAAGTTCATGCGGCCGATTTTTTCTATTTTCAAAATAAAAATTCTTGTCGCATAGGCGTGTCCTTTGAAAAGTTTAGGTCACTTCCAAATTTTTTGGCAAAATATTTTAGACGACATCTTAATTTTCGCTACCGAGAGAATGCTTGCAATAGATACTACACAGTTGGGCACACGGACAATTGGATGGATGGATGGACGGACGGACGGACGAACGGATATGTTTATGTGCATTCCAAATTTTTAAACGGGCCAAAAATTTATATAATTTATGAGGGTTTTGAAATTGGTTTCTGCACGTTACAAAGGAACGTAAAACAAAAATTAATTTTTAATACGATTAATATTGGGCAGGGTTGGCCAATTTTTGCCATTTTTGTACTAGTACTATGGTGTCGCCACTTGAATATGTGTTCAAATTCTTGTACATTTATCTGCTAAAATTTATGAGTAATGATTGAAAAATCAATTATTTATTCCTTTTAGAAATAAAGAGGTGTCCCCCCCATCTTACGTGGTACTATTAGCATGTCTTTCGACCAATTTGGCCCTTTTTTAATACCACCCTTTGTTTAAGAACTTGCAATGTTTTGTGTTGAATTTGAAGTAGATTGCTGCTTTTTTGCGGCGAGGGGAATGTTTACAACAGGCGAACAGACGGACACACTTAAATCGATTTAGAATTTGATGCTGATCAAGAATATATATATATATATATACTTTGTGGGATCTCTCCCCTCATCTTCCAGTGATGAAAAAACAATTTATCGAACAGGTACCGCTTAATTGTCCAGGCCAGGTTAGAGCAACTCATGATCCATAGTTTCTTTTTAATTCCAGCACATAACATAACATTCCCTTATGGTATATTTCTACCTGAGTTTTGCTATCGTTTTTGAAGCTTTATTTGACTTGAACCACAAGCTTTTTCGCACATTATTAATGACTGCGTAATCCACCACATTTCGTTCAGTTCAGGAGTGATTCGAAGATGGGCATTCGATCCGTTAAATTTTTCATTTTTAATTTCAGTCAGCCCTACGTAGCAATATGATCATTCGGAATATGATCATTGTTTAGCTCCGCAGCCAAATAACTAACCGCCGACCGTGCCACGTTTTCAACATCGAAATTTCTGGAATTATCTTTGATGAAGCAGATTGCGAGACCCTGTCGTCTTGCTCGTAGTAGTTTTAGCGCACTTTTCGCAGTTTAAGCTCATTTTCATAACGCAGTTACTCTTGACTGAACAACATCAAAATATTTTCATTCTTTAATTATCTATGGATCGAAGTATTCAAAATATTGTTAGTAACTGACAGAGCAATATCGTCTCGTTTTATATATTCTGCATCCTGTCGAAATCTAACCAAACTCGTAATTGGAAACATTGAAATCAAGCAACCCGACATCCCTCTGATGTTAATTTTGGTAGCAAAGCTAGTAACCTAAAATGATAAAGAATACGATAAGAGTTAATAGGCCAGAAAATTATGTTCGGTCATGATCGAATTTTTTATATCATGTATATCATCATCGTTGTCATAAAAAAGACTACAAAGAAAGCAAAAGGAGCAGATTTTTATTCTCGTGAATACTGAATGGGCGTGGGTGACTTTTCCATTTTTTAAAAAACAAGTTGAAATTTATATCGTGGCCTTTTATAGTCTATGAGTAATAAGCAAAAAACATGGAAGGCAAAGATGTTGTCAGTTTTTTATTGCGTAGACGTGTAGGTGTGCCTTTCAACTAATTTGGATCATTTTCTAATTCTTCCCCAAATTCCCACCCGATACATTCATTTTCGCTAACCGGGGAATGTTTTCCATGGGCACTATAGAGTTGGACAGGTAGATAGATGGATGAACATACTTGAGACCATTCCGAATTTGAAATTGGCAAAGCATTTAAATACTTTCTGGGACTTTTGAAATTGGGGAAACTGAGTCGGAAGCAAATTCAATCTGCTTACAAAGTACACACTGAAGTTTATGAATCCCAGAAAGCGGCACTAATACGAAATTTATGTACGCTACTAATCGTTTTTCTACTTTAAAACCCCATAGCGTTCGCATTCAGAGTTCCACTCTATTCGATACCACCGAGCAAATAGAAAAATTATGTGAAATATTAGATTCTTTGCACCTTGGTGCCAAATTTTTAAAAATTTGAGTAAGTCGATTAGGGAAAAGGTCGTTGGCTTCCACTTCACCTTTGTGCAATTTTCAAACAAAATTTGCAAAAGAAACCGATTAAATTGGATCTCTATGGAAGAAATCGTTAAAATGCAACCAGCGTGTGTATGGAGCTTAAACATGACCTAATTTTTTGAGAATAATACGGATTTTCAGCTAAATTTTGTTCAAAAGTTCAAACGCTTTAGGAAGGAAACGTTTTTTATGAACGTTTTAATGAATAATTGATTGCAGTGAACTTTTTAAAAGTATGCAATTGCTGCTGGGAGAAGAGCGGAATCAACACCCACAAAACAACATTACTACACTCTTGTGTTTCAAGTATATATATAAATGATTGTTTTGTATACAAAAATTCAAACTTTCATCAAAATGTTAAGTTTTGTTAATCATTGAAACTGTCAAAACTATACGACCAGAAAAGTATACTATACGACCAGAAAGTATACTATACGGGTCCCAAGTCTAGCGTGTAGTTTTTACAGTCATACTGCCGCACACTGATCCAAATCATCCACTTTTGCATGTTCGTCTCGTTCAATCTAAAGTGGGTAAACGAGTAGTGTTGAACGGTAATGATTGTTTAAACTTGGCTTCACATAACTATTTGGGTTTACTGGAAGATGAAGAGATTCTGGAAGATGCTTGCAAGAGTTTACGCAAATATGGTGTAGGCTCCTGCGGTCCGCGTGGTATCTACGGTACCATGGACGTTCACTTGGATTTAGAAGACCGTCTTGCAAAATTTATGAGAATGGAGGAAGCAGTAGTCTATTCATATGGGTTTTCAACTGTGGCCAGCGCGATACCGGCCTATTCAAAAAAGGGAGATATTATATTTGTGTAGGATATATGACTGCTTTAAGAGAAATATCACACATAAGCCGGTTTTTTTCTTTTTCAAGGGATGCAGCCGTTAATTTCGCTATACAGAAAGGCCTTGATGCGTCGCGCAGTACCATTTACTTTTACAAACATAATGACATGGCCGGCCTGGAGCGATTACTTATGCAACAGGAACAAAAGGACCGTAAGGTAAATAAATTCGATAAGAAGCGTGAACCTATTTAACTTTTGCTTTCTGATTCATTGTTACATCCATCCAAGATTTTTCTTTAGTACCAATACGTTTACAAGCCAGAAATGCAGAAAAGGTATTCCAAGAGATGTCTTTATGATCCTATTTCAAGACAGTGAAGATCCGACGTCGAAAAGCCAGCAT